CGTAGTGCCTTTCATGGGAAAACTTTCCTATTACTTCCATAAAGTTGCTACCAATTATCGTCCCCATTTACAAAAATGGAATGAGTATAAATGAAGCAGATAAGTGCTTTTTACAGGCATCATAACAGAAACAGGAAACAAAACCTGATATTTTAAATTTCATTAGGGACTGTATTAAAAAGATGATGGTTATCAACAGCTCCTTTTGAGTAGTTCTTGTAATTTCTCAGGACAGATGCAGTAATCAGAAGACGGACTAAGAAGTATGGATGCCTGGAAAAGCAGTAGTGGGCGTGGGGGCTGAGGCGGCGGTCCGGTCGCCACTCCACGAAACACTGCACAGTCTAGTTTACCCAATTTTCAAATTTAAGCTAGTCAGCTTATATTATTTTGGATTCCAATATCCTCAATTCTTCTAAAACCTTGGGAAAAATGCTGATATTTATGATCAAAGTGACCTTTTTATATTCCATTCTTCCCAGCAGTGTGTAAACAGGGAGGTACTAAGAACTCGAATGTACTGGGAACTCTCAACCTCTCCCATTACAAGTGGTTTTACAAACATCTCTTTTGGTATTATGAACAGAGTTCTCATTCTTCAGAAGGTGCTAGAGAAAGGAATGGTTGGAGAAATTTCCCAACTTGCCTCAACTCAATCATCTTGAGGTAGATAGAAGCCCCTCACATTTTCAAGATTCAGCTGATAACGGACAGTGCTTATGCATGGGTAATTTTCTAGAAAACAAGGCTTTTGGCATCTAAACCTCCAGTGCATCACAAACTTCCTATTATCTAATACTCACCCCCCTCCCCAACTCAGCCATCACTGTTTCTATGGTAACCGACAGAGAAATAGCAGCCTGCCAAATGGCTTTTGTACTTCCTTTTCCAGCTTGTTTTTCAGTATAGAATTAAAGCTATACCGGGAAAAGAACCAGACTAATCTTTATAACAGGGACACGACGCAGTCTGAAAAGTACAACTGGGTTTGGGACACAAGCATATAAAAGCTTTAATGAGCCCACCTTGGGAGAATAAAAGAGGTTCTTGGTTTCTTTAAAAAAAAACGTCTACAGAGGCATAGTTGGTAAGCTTTGTCTTAAGATAGTATATTCTGATGTTGGCCAGAAGATAGATACAATGTTGTTCACTCAGGTTTAACTGAATTAACAAAAGAAGGGATGGGTGAATGAAGGAAAGACTACTATGTCTCCAAGTAGCTTATTATCATTAAAGGAAGTGGTAATTGACTATAAAATCAAAACAAATAAGCAGAAGTTGACAGACTTGGACAGGGAGATGAGGATCAAGGATTGGCATCTTGGAGGAGTGAATGTTTAATCCTAGGGATGATGCATGCACAAAGCCGGCTGAGCCAACTGCATGAATCAGAGGGACACTGGTGCTGAGGGAAGCAAAGATCTCCTTACCATCTCAGCACGGCGAGAAATTGTTAGGGATGCAATGTGTGCGACTGGGGCAGACTTCAGAAGATCAGCAGCTACAGAGAACTACTTAAGGTGCCAGACTGCAAAACAAACAGCTGCTGCAGGGGTGGGGGAGTTTGAATGTTAAAAAAAAGGCTAATTCTTTTTGAAAGTGGCCTCAAACTGTCTCAAATCTACATACTTAATCAAACACAGGAAATCTCATGATTCCTCTCTGTCAGCTTTAGATGAGAAACTTTGACTCAAGTCAAACAGGTATTACCTTCTTCTCCTCAGATTGGTTAAAACTAACTGGATTTTGAAAAAGATGCCCTCCCACAATCTCTAGCACACTCCAAATGTCTTGTAGACAGACATGAAAATTACAATCTTTAGTGGCATAGCGGGACAGGTTCCTAGGAACTACAGAAAGTCAGACTCCTACAAATTCCACACAGAGGACTAACCTGAATTACATTTTTTATTTTATGCTTTTACCTTGAGTTATATGAATCATGAGTCATGTTCTCAAAGCTATCACCATAGTTAAGGAAGAAAAGTAGACAGATCTGCAATAACCATTTTCCTTTCAATCCTTTGGAAAAGGGATTATTATTCTAAGATAAAGATGATGTACTCTAAGATACATTCCCAAGGATGTCAACTCAGAGAAAGGCTTCTATACTTCAAGTTTAGCTAGATTTGTGGAGCCCAAGATTTTTTAAATCTGCTAAAGAAACGAAGAAACTTTTCCAAAAGTTTAAACCTGGGTTTTGTTTATCCAAGAATGGAGTTTATAGTTCTTGGGGCCGGGAAGTAATTTTAAAACTGTATTCACTAACTCATGATTATAATTTCAAATATATTAACCTTCAATTTCCCCATCTTAAACAGAAGTCAGAATTGAAGGAATATACAACTGCATCAAATTCAATCAGTTAAGACTATGCCAGAAGCAAAACTTATTAATCAGTAACTTGATATACTGACACATTTGTATTTCTTCCCATATCTGTTTCCTTAGCCAACTCTGTTTCAAGATCTTAGACAAATTTTCTTACTTATCTGATAGGTTTTTTTCATCAAATCAGCTACTAAGTTATAGTGCAAATTCCCCTGCTATTGGCAGACAATTAAAGGGACTTAACCATATTTTCAGTGTTTCACGGCCTGTGCTTTTACTCTTGTTCATCAAAATAGACTCTAAGAAGCCTTGAGAAGACAAAGTTTCAGTAAGTGTGGTCAGTGTCCCTCTTAAGAGATTTCGTTCCAATTGGTTGCCCTCAGACACAATGCTACGTGGCAGTTACATTTTCTATCCACCCATTAACCTATAACATAACTGAATTGTATTTCCAAGAAATAATTCTTGATCACCATGAATATGTTCTCATATGAGAATATGAAGACCTTCAGCTGCCTAGAGGGGAAAAAATAGAGGTATTCTGGGTACCAGAACACTGTTAATTCTTCAGTTCAGTCGCTCAGTCGTGTCTGACTCTTTGTGACCCCATGGATTGCAGCACGCCAGGCTTCCCTGTCCATCATCAACTCCCAGAACTTGCTCAAACTCATGTCCATTGAGTCTGTGATGCCATCCAACTATCTCATTCTCTGTCGTCCCCTTCTCCTCCTGCCTTCAATCTTTCCGAGCATCAGGGTCTTTTCAAATGAGTCAGCTCTTTGCATCAGGTGGCCAAAGTATTGGAGTTTCAGCTTCAACATCAGTCCTTTCAATGACTAATGCTTAACAGTTGGAAATTGCTTGTACAGTAAAACTAATTATCCTACAAAGCATGCTTTGGGAATTCTTAACCTTAAAATCTGGAAATAGGCAAAAAAATGTTTTTTAAAAAGGGTGATGGTGGTGGTGGCGAATGTACGTGTAGAGAAAAGCGATAACTGAATACTTCAAACACTTGGCAACAAGGAAAGTAACTGCAAAGAACCAGAGACTCAGCTTACACCAAAGATTATCCTGGATCCACCAGAGTTTGCTGTCCACTCAGAAAGCTGGAAGGATAACCCTGGAAGGGAGACAGAGCACTAACAGGGGCCAGATCATCAGCTCCAGGAGGGGAAGGATGACTTCATCTCACTTACTCATGGCTATAATCCCAGCTCCCAAGACCGGGCCTGGCAAAAAGGTGGTGTTCCGCACGTCTGGCTTGAGGGTCTGAACTTTAAAATAAGACACATGGTGTTTCTCTGCCATCCACACAACAGAAGACTTACGAAGGGGAGGATGAACTCCTCACACATGCAAATGTAGGATTTAACCAAGTGGAAGTCTACATATAAAAGCTAACTGTACCTGAAAGGAACATGGCAAAGGTTGGGAGCCTGCTTCTTAGGCGGGTCTCCCTGGTACACTGAAACAGTGAAGGCTAGTCAGAGTGCTCGGGGAGCAAGTTCACGCAGGAAGTCACTGGCAACTGACCACACCCCCACCCCGCCAACACAGACCAAAGCTTCTTTGTAAACAAGAGCAAATACAGCCCTGTCAATAGAAGATATGCCAAGGAAAGGTGCTTAATGGAGTAAGTGCAAAACAACACAATATGCTTCAAAATACCATGTTTGGAAACCCAAATACATGTCTGGAAAACAGCCCAAGAAGTATATCTGATGAAGAACAGACATAAGCACTGACTGCCTGATAATTATGTGGTCTGGATTAGGTCATGCTCAAAACACCGCCCTGTAGGCCGTCCACGCTGACTGCGTCTGGTTTAATGTTATAAGCTAAATGATCGGGAGCCTTGGTTTAAAAAATACACCCACACGCAAATGCTGGAAATAAGATAATTTGGTAGAGGTTTGCTCTTCTCTTAGAGTTCCTACTATCTTTCTATCTACCTTAGTCCTAAAGTTCTACACTTGTTGATTTAAAAAAGACCACACACACACAGAGCCCTCATACTCCTCCAGTGTCTTATAATATATAGTAAGAGCTGGGCTGGACAACTGAAGTTATTCTACACTTTAGTCACTGCTTGTCTGGTCATCTGGCTGGAACTTCCTCTCTGAAGGAGTACCATCCAACTGGACTTCAGGAACCGGCTAAGAAGGAATGGGGATGCCTGTGGTACTTCTTTTCAAAGAAGACAGGCAACACTGCCATGAAGGACACTTACTTAAAGGCTCCTGAAGAAGGGCATCTTCCCTGAGCCTCCTTCCTTTCCCTTCTTGCCCCTACTCACTCGAGTCATCCCTTTGTGAGCCCTCCTTCATAGCATTTATCGTAATTCCAGTTACTTGAGTAATGAGTAATGTCTGTCTACCCCCATTTCCATGAGGATGGGGACCGTGTCTGTCCTTTCCACCAGTGGAAATAAGCCTTTAACACCTGGCACACAGCGGGCAATTTCTGTTGCAGAAATGAACAAATGGCTTCTGTAGAAGTCAAAAGTTATCCACAGGATATAAGCCATCAGTTGAAAACATTTCATCAACCAAACACACACTCCAATCTCCTAAATCTGAAAGTAGGAGCCTTTTAGGAGCCCAGTTTTTTTTCCACAGATTATTATATGGCAGGAGTAACATAAAATAAACAAACAGACTACTCACTGGTGGGGGCTTCCTTCTCATCTCAAACACACGCGTGGCACCAAAACTGAGAGAAGCAATGACGGGGCACCTCCCCAGTGAAGGCTCGTCATCACTGTGCCAGTCCACGCTGTCCTTCTCGCTCCGGTACAGATTGCAGAGCAAGGAGTTGAAGGTGTGGCCACTGTTCTCTTCAACTTGGTTCTTCAGCATGAGCAGCACGGGATGCCACTGCAGTCAACAGGTCAAGAGAAGGGGCAGAGACAGCTCACATGAGAACAAGGTGGCAGTCACAGGGAAAACAGGAAGTGCAAAGTCAGTCATGCTATAAACAGGGGCTTGGAATAAGCAAACCATCTGAAACATAATAAGCGTAACGCCAGAAGAGAAGGTGCATTGTCGCCCGTTATGTCTATTCTGAAGCAAGCTGGCCTCTGCAATTTTACTAAGATGCTAAATTTGGTGTAGCGATGTCATGAAGACCAGACCTACCCTCCCATCTCATCCTCTCCATGTTAAATATATGACCCTCCCGAGAAGTAACTGTCAGTACACTGGGCAGTCGCCTCAGTAAGGCATGGGGGTGGCATGTGGAGCAGGAAGCTTGCTTTGTCACCACGGCTGATGGGCCGTCAGGAGTTGGCAGATAAAGACTGCAGTCTGAGGGTGAAACAGCTCTTCTTCGGGGGGGCCCTCTGCTCCATTTCTGTACTGTGCTGTACTGTACTGTGCTCACTCAGTCATGTCTGACTCTTTGCGACCCCAGGGCCTGTAGCCCACCAGGCTCCTCTGTCCATGGGTACTTCTCCAGGCAAGAATACTGGAGTGGGTTGCCATGCCCTCTTCCAGGGGATCTTCCAGACCCAGGAATCGAACCCAGGTCTCCCACATTGCAGGCGGATTCTTTAACGTCTGACCCACCAGGATGCAGTTCCCATTTTATCACAAATGGCAAAATTGCTCTTTGAAAAGGATATTTAATATTTCCAGAGTGGCAAACTTCCTAAGACCAGAACCCAGAGGGGAAAAACATTCTACAGAATGGAGTCATGAAATGTCTGTGAACTACAAAAGATTTAAAGAGCCCACAGCCCTGCCTCCTGAGCACCGAGTTCACATTCGTAGTTTATATTCAGAACTCACCATCTCGCCATACGTGCTTTAGCAAACTTAGGTTGTACTAGGGAGCTACAGCGTAGCTCTTATGGTTCTGGTTAGAGTTCTGTACGTTTTGCCTCCCAAGAAACCTCAAGTGCTTTACAGAAGCTTCCTGTAGGACAGGGTTTCTCGCTCCACTACCAAAGTTGATTGAGGAGGCAACTCCCTGGCGGTCCAGAGGTCAGGACTCAGCACGTTCACTATTGAGGGCCTGGGTTCAACCCTTGGTTGGGGAACTAAGATGCTGAAAGCTATTTAGCACAGCCAAAAAAAATTACTGAGGACCCCAAAGAACTTCTATGATAGCTACCATATTAAAAATTAAAACTAAAAAAATTTTAATTTTTGGTTAATTCATTTAAAAAATAACAACTCCATTATATGCTAAACCAAGTAGTAGCTTTTTTCCAATATAAAAAAATTAGTGAGAAGAGTGGCACTGTTTTGCAAATCTCTTCAATGTTTGATTTAACAGAAGAGAGTTGGTTCTAATATCTGCTTATGCATTCAATCTGTTTAAAATGTTTTTGTTGACACATACAAAGAAAACTGCCTTCACACAGAGATGTAGTTGGAAAAAGGAAGAAAAAGCCTTTTCAAATAACCATAGCTATTCTTTGCTATTACACCAAAACTCAACTGTACTGATTTCTTAAAGGTTAAAAGCAATGTGGAATCAGAAACTACATCAACACACTTTTGATATTATTACATCTAAATCCATTGGTCCAACTTGCACTTTGAATGAATCTTTTAATCTTGCATGATTCTGTAACATCAAGCACTGGTGATTTGGAAAATACTGGCTCACTGAGTTATGCAGACCCTCTTACTACTGACATGTTTCATTATATACCATAAAAAAAATCACCTCCATTAATATTGCCACTGATCTCTTCAGAAAAAGCTAAGTAATGGGAAGAGGTCAGGCTCAAGGTGAAGGATATGAGTTTTTCCAGAATTCCTAACATTTCCTTGAAACCTCAACTTTTATCAGTATCACACTTTTATTAAATCCTGTCCATTGTTTTCCTAGAAGTGACACTTCATTCACTTATGAGAAAATGTCTGCTGAGTTCTCAAGTCTAAATAGTGTGTGTGCCAGTGGCTCTTCCAAGTAAAATGGTCCAGGATAAAAGCAGCTAGTTCCGCTTATACCTTAAACAATCACACAACCATCATAAATCATTTGGAGCAGGAATGCCTTATACACACTTTCCATTTCATGAAACAATTTTAAAAGATCAAGATTTAATAAAACTAATAATGCTTATGGCTTCATCAAAGGACACCCTTGAATGAAACCATCATTTTTTTTTTTTTACTGGAAGTGCATGTGGTAAAGAAAACAATGATTACTAGTACAGTTTGGTGGCGATGGCTTGATTCATACTACGGCACCAACAATTTTAGTCACCATTGTTTTTGTCTAGTGCAAACTCAACACAGTGAAAAATGTCACCTAGTCTTAGTAATCTCATAAAATTAATTTTGACCCTGTGGATTCCCAGAAAGAATTTCATGGACTTCCTCCAGGGATCCACAGATTCTACTTTAAGGACTGCCACTCAGGTTTCCCTGGTGGCTCAGTGGTCAAGAATCTGCCTGCCAGTGTAGGGGATGTGGGTTCAACCTCTGGTCCAGGACGATCCCACAGGCTGCAGAACAGCTAGGCCCATGTGCCACAAACTACTGAGCCTGTGCGCTAAAGCCCAGGAGCTGCAACTACTGAAGCCCATGCACCCTAGAGCCGAGCTCTGCAAAGAGAAGCCGCCACAATGAGAAGCCTGTGCACTGCAACTAGAGACAGGCCCCCACTCTCTCTGCAACCAGAAAGCCTGTGCAGCAACACAGACCCAGCACAACCAAAAATAAATAAATTTTTAAAATTATTAAAAAAAAAAAAAAGAACTGCCACTTTAGAGAACCCCTTCAGAGTCCATGTTCTATGTCCGGAAGTGAAGAAATGTATGCTCAGCAAAGGAAAGCATAATATCATTCTTAGGTATATACCATGACTATTATCAGGGAAAACTTCCAGGGAGCACATGCGGGAATCAGCTTCACTGTCTCGTGGAAATCGTGTTAAAAGCTGGCCTTCCTTGTTTCAGATGTGGCATTACATTCTTAGCAGAGGATTCTGTTTATGTTACTGATGTGACACTGGTTTATAACATCATATTTCCACCATGCACATGCGTGTGTGCTCAGTCACTCAGTTGTGTCCGACCCTTTGTGACCCCATGGACTGTAGCCCACCAGGCTTCTCTGTCCATGGGATTCTCCATGCAAGGATACTGGAGTGGGTTGCCATTTCCTTCTCCAACCATACAGCATGTTCACCTCCACCAAAAATTCAGTTTCCATCCGTCACCACACAGTTGACCTCCTTCCTCTGCTGTGCCCTCCATTCTGTCCCTTCCCCTTTGGTAACCACTACTGTGCTCCTTGTACCTACATGTTTGGTTTGTTCATTTATTTATTGATTTTTTTATATTCCACACATTAATAAAATCATACAGAATCTGTCCCTCTTCACCTGACTTACTTAACATAATATCCTCAAAGTCCATCCATGGTCTCACAAAAGGTAAGATTTCATCTTTTTTTAAATGGCTGAGTAGTAGTCCATTTATAAATATAAGAGAGTTGGACCATGAAGAGGGTTGAGCACCAAACAATTGATGCTTTCAAATTGTGGTGCTGGAGAAGACTCTGGAAAGTCCCTTGGACTGCAAGGAGATCAAACCAGTCCATCCTAAAGGAAATCAGCCCTGAATATTCATTGAAAGGACTGATGCTAAAGCTGAAGCTCCAATATTTTGGCCACCTGATTTGAAGAGCCAACTCATTGGAAAAGACCCTGATGCTGGGAAAGAATGAAGGCAAAAGGAGAAGAGGGCGGTAGGGGATGAGGTGGTAAGATAGCATCACCAACTCAATGGATATGAACTTGAGCAAACTCTGGGAGGTAGTGGAGGATAGGGAAGCCTGGTGTGCTGCAGTCCATGGGGTTGCAAAGAGTTGGACAAAATTTAGTGACTGAACAACAACATATATACAGATACACACACACACATCACATTTTCTTTATCCATTCATCTGTTGATGGGCACTTAGGTTGCTGCCATATCTTGGCTATTGTGAATAACGCTGTGATGAACACAGGGGTGCACATGTATTTTCAAATTAGTGTTTTCATATTCTTTGGATAAATAACCAGAAGTGGGATAGCTGGATCATATGATATTTTAATTTTTTGAGATATTTCCATAATGGCTGCACCAGTTAAATTCCCATTAACAGGGAATGACAACTCTCTTTTCTCCATATCCTCACCAGCACTTGTTATTTCTTGCCTTTTAGATAACAGCCGTTCCAGCAGACATGAGGTGATGTTATCTTACTATGGTTTTGATTTGCACTTCCCTAATTAGTGATGCTGAGCATCTTATCATGTGCCTATTGTCAATTTGTCCTGGAGAAGGAAATGGCAACCCACTCTAGTATTCTTGCCTGGAGAATCCCATGGACAGAGAAGTCTGGCAGGCTACAGTCTATGGGGTCACAAGAATCAGACACGACTTAGCGACTAAACCACCAACACCACCACCACTGTCCATCTGTATGTCTTCTTTGGAAAAATATCTATTCAGCTCCTCTAAGGCAGATGATTTTTAAAAATAAACTGCAATAACAACAAACAAAACTTAGTCATTAAATGTTATTAAATATTATTTAAATGTCATTAAATGTTATTAAACTAACCTACATTCAAGAGTGAAATTCCATAATAATGTTATCAAGCTGTATTTCCTATTTATTTTATGGCTTTAAGCTATCTTTAACCTGTATGTGAGTCAAGGAGTAACAGAACCTTACATGGAACAACTGCCTGCTTTGAAATTGGGAAAGGAGTATGACAAGGCTGTATGTTGTCACTGTCTATTTAACTTACATGCAGAACACATCATGTGAAATGCCGGGCTGGATGAAGCTCAAGCTGGAATCAAGATTGCTGGGAGAAATATTAACAACCTCAGATATGTAGATAATATCTCTCTAATGGCAGAAGGTAAAGAGGAACTAGAGACTCTTGACGAAAGTGAAAGAGGAGAGTGAAAAAGCTGGCTTGAAACTCAACATTCAAAAAACTAAGATCATGGCATCTGGTCCCATCACTTCATGGCAAATAGAAGAAAAAGTGGAAGCAGTGACAGATGTTCTCTTCTTGGACTCCAAAATCACTAGATGGTAACTGCAACCATGAAACTGGAAGACACTTGCTTCTTGGAAGGAAGGCTATGACAAACCTAGACAGTGTATTAACTTTGTTGACAAAGGTCTGTACAGTCAAAGCTATGGTTTTTCCAGTAGTCACATATGGATGTGAAAGTTGGACCATAAAGAAGACTGAATGCCGAAGAATTGATGCTTTCAAATTGTGGTGCTGGAGAAGATTCTTGAAAGTCCCTTGGACTGCAAGGAGATCAAACCAGTCAATTCTAAGGGAAATCAAACCTGAATATTCATTGGAAGGACGGATGCTGAAGCAGAAGCTACATTATTTTGGCCACCTGATGTGAGCAGCTGACTCACTGGAGAAGACCCTGATACGGGGGAAGCCATTAAGCATGGGCAGGATATTTAGTTCTTTCTCAAGGGCTGTAGATAACAGTTTAGTCCCTAAGTCATATCTGGCTCTCTTTGTGACCCCATGAACTGTAGCCCACCAAGCTCCTCTGTCCATGGGATTCTTCAGGCAAGAATACTACAGTGGGTTGCCATTTCCTTCTCCAGGGCATCTTCCTAACCCAGGGATTGAACCTGTGTATCTTAAGTCTCCTGCATTGGCAGGCCATTCTTTACCACTAGGACTACCTGGGAAGCTCGATACTGGGAAAGACAGAAGGCAAAAGGAGAAGAGGGCAGCAGAAGATGAGATGGTTGGACAGCATCACTGATTCAATGGACATGAACTTGGGTGAACTCTGGGAGGTGGTGAGGGACAGGGAAGCCTAGCATGCTGCAGTTCATGCGGTCGCAAAGAATCGGCCACGACTGAACGACAACAAGAAGAAGCTTATCTTCGTGGGGATAAAGACCAGATGCTAGAATCATACACTTAACAAGAAACACAAGAACGTAAAGGAGGATGATAGCTTTTCGGCAATGTAACTGAGAAACTAATTAGCACTTCCTTGACTTGCTTAGGGACTGAGCTAACACCAAGTTTGCATTATGTTTCTAAGTGAATATATTTTTTTTATTGGTTATTTTTGGTGGTGAAGTAAGTAGAAAAGGAGAAAACAAGGAATAATGAACTAGGGGATTAATTTAGACTCTCCAACCAATACTCTATATACAGATCCCGCAGCACTGAAGAGTCTAAATTAAAACCCAGCGTCATCTCAATGTTCAGGGAAGACATTCTATCCTTAAAAGACATTTGAGGAAAAGAGTATGAGAAGGTACAAGGACCTATTTGGTGGACTTCAAACAGTGTTTTGCAGACACCCAGGTGCCACAGAGATGCCTCTGGGACCACAGGAGGAGAAAGGAGCAGTCAAGCTGGTGGGACTGCCCGTCAGTGAGGGCACTCTTTTATTTCCATACAGTGGATTCATATAACATCTAGCTTGAAAAAAAGACTAAAAGGGACTTCCCTGGAGGTCCAATGGTTAACAATCCACCTTCCAGTGGAGGGAACACAGGTTTGATCCCTGGTTGGGGAATAAGATCCCACATGCTGCAGGGCAACTAGCGAGCCCGCAAGCAGCAACTGCTGATCCCATGCGCTCTAGAAGCCACCCACTCATGCTCCACAATGACAGAAGCCCGCAAGTCGCAACTAGAGAAGCCCGCACGTGTTGCAACTAGAGAAAGCCTGCGTGCCGCAATGAAAACCCAGTGCAGCCAAATAAAAGACTAAAAGATGTTTAAGTACCTATGACTGAACCTCCTCCTGTGCTATGGAATACTAAGCTTGAGGTAAAAACAACTTTAAAATTAAACTAATATCCCCAACATATATATACACATTAGGGAATCTTCCCTTAAAAAATCTGAGAAAGGGACGTCTATTTTGATTTTGTTCCAGATGGTATACAAATTAAATCTATTAGCAATAAATACAAAGTTATGAGCCAGTCAAATTCAAATGAAAGAATTCTAATATGACAATCTTATGATAATAGAATATGTTAATAATATAGCAAAATTAAATATAGTATATGAATAACTGATTTTATATAAAAATAAATTCTCTTTATATATTTGCCTAAAAAGAAAAAAAAGACTGAAACCAAAACATCAGATGGAAGTGTTATCCAAAATTTTAATATTCTTCATATTTACCTGTAGTTTCTAAATTTTCAATAATAAACGTGTATTAGTTAACGATATAAGAAAAGGGTTGTCATTCAATCAATTCTTTTGAAGAGTTGTTAAAATGTCCCCAAGCATAATTGGTCAGTCTATCTCAGCAGACCCTACATGTCTTATGTTTAACCTAAAGCAGTGGTTCTCAAGCAAGGTCAATTTTGGAACCCCAACAGATGTTTAGCAATATCCAGAGTCATTTTTGGTTGCCTTGCCTGGGTAAGGGGTGCCTCTGGCATCTAGGGGGCAGAAGTCACAGATGCTGCTAAACATCCTACAATGCACATGACAACCTAACAACAAAGAATTATTGTGCTTGAAATGTCAGTGATACCAAGGTTGAGAAATCCTGTTCTGAAAGATTAGCTAGAATGAAAGAACTTCTTTCCCACAGGCTATTTAATCCTGAACTTCTCTGCTCTAACTGTTGATAAGAAGATACACTAATTCTGACAGAAACATGGCCAGCAGTTTATGATGAACTGGCCTAGTTCAATTCTTTTCATGTTCCCAAGTCAATTTCAGATATAAAGGGTTTCTCTGTACTTCCCCGGGTTACATTCTAAATGCAGCCTTAGAAACCAGAGCACCCATCTATCTCTTCATGTGAAAAAGTCATGTTCCCTTCAGTCAATATTTGACCCCTGAACATTTTAGTAAAATGCTAGTTTATGATAAGAAATTACTAGGAGTTCTAAATATGTCACATTTCTCTTTATTCCAATGCCATAAGCAAAAACTCCATTTTCTTCAAAGTCTCCTTCAAAAAATAAAAAAACACAAAAACCATATTATTATTTGCCAAAGGCAAGATTCCAGGGACTAAACAGAGAGCTATTTCTTGGATCTTAATTCCATCATCTGGATAAGCTTAATTTATATATTAGAATCTCTTTATCTTTCATGGACATTTTTAAAAACACAAGACGCAGTAGAGACAAGCCAAAGCAATGATAAGTATGAGAACTGCAGCCACAGAATGAATACAAAGTCAACAAGAAAAGCAACAGATTTTTCTCACAAATGGCAAAAGAGCCTGAGACATGGAAAGAAACATTCTGACCTCACTGGTCAGTCGTAAAGATTTGGAACCACAGCAAGTATGTACCAGGAGATACACAAAGGGCTATGGCAGAAAAGCTTGGGGAAGCGGGAGATTAGGAAAAGAAATGATTCATTTCTCTGAAATCCTTGCGTCTGGTTCTAGTTTACTCTAGGCCCAGTTTTTTTTCTCATCCTCTGACTTCATCTGTGGATCAAAAGCACATCAATGGTGATATGCACAAAGACTCAGTGTTGGAACTTGGAGGGTTTTTTGAACCAGGAACCACCATGCAGCTCCGCAAGGTCGTTTACTGTTATTTTACAGTCCTCGACAGTCACAGTATACCGTCTATAAAACCATACCAATAACAACATTCCAACATACGTGAGGATTTGGTTCCATAGTGATTCTTGAATAAGTGTAAGGAAGTTCTCCATACCATGCTGTAAGTCTTGGCTGCTGGTAAGTTACATCTAAGAAAGAAAATACAGGGCCTTTGAAAGGGTTCAATGTTATTTTAGGTGTACCTAGCGAGGGCCAACACCCTGCCTAGTAATGTATAAGGAGCTATGAGAAATACAAAGGAAGAGGCAGGGTGGGCTCCCACCCAAGGTTCCACCTTCATAAAGGGCACGGGCCATCAGGAGTGGAATGGCGACAGCTAAAAGGATGGCAAGTGAAGGTATATTGGCAGAGCCTGTATGGGTGACGCTCTGGGGTGAGAATGTGTTTAACCTATTTGTGTCAGTGGTGACACAAACAAGAGTGAAGGAGTCACACCGCAGGACAGAAGGATTCACATTAGAGAGGGTCTAAGATGCAGGACATGGAGTCCAAACCCTTGTAGGTAGGAAATTGTGGCATGAATGTCCATACAGGAAACAAAACCAACTGTCCACCCATGTGCCACCACTATCTAAGCCCTTTTGATTCCAAATAAAGAAAAAGGTGTTCTGACCCACCACAGCACATAGTTAATTTTATTCAGAAGTTTTTGATGTCCACTTTATAATTAGAGAAGGAGCTACCCGCAGATCTGCTATTTTTCCCTACAACTGACTTCAACCGCTACAACAATAACAATAATAATAAAAGCAGTTAACATTCACTGAAGGCTTACTATGTACCAAGCATTCTGTTAAGTACCTATCAGGCACTGTCTCATTTAATTATCACAACAACCTTGCAAGATAGGTATTATTATTAGCTCTATTTTCTTGATCAGAAAAATTAAGAATCAGAAAATTACTTAACTATCATTTGTCTAAAATAAACAATCACTTTGAAAGAGCCAGCAGTTGAAGCCAAGTCTGTCACCAAAAACCCTGCTGTAGAAACTTCTGGGAATCAGAAGGCTGCCCTGAAAGAGCTGACTCCTTCTGATGCCTGTTGCAAAAGTGATGCCAGTATACTTTGCCTCTTTCTCCACAGAAAATTTAAAATCACCCAATGTGCCAGGAAAAAAAGATTCTATGCTAGAGCATCGCCGCCCCCCAGTGACCACCTCTGGTACAGCAGGGACTGTTGCTTGCGTAGAACCCGCTCCAAGTCAGGTAATCTTTTTTTTCTTTTTTCAAGTTAGGTAATCTTGACAAGCTCAGGAGAATAATACAAATGCTGAAGCTAAAGGACACTTCTAGTGAAACTAGAGTGAGAATAAAAAGATGATAAAAAGAATATATGCCAAACAGAATCAGAAAAAAAACAAGTTCTGGAAGTGTCTATGAAGAAAGAGGGAAGCTGGCACCATCTGAAGTAACGAATAGTTATCAAACACTAAGGGAGAAAAGCACGTCAACCACAGCTCAGTCAAACCAAACTTCCTTCCTTTCCTGGAAAGCCTACCTTCTGCCATACACTGAGAACCATGTGCTGTTTCTTCTGTGAGGAACACTCTTCCCTGTCCCCTTTGGCGAATTCCTGCCTATCCTTAGGGTTCCAGTTAGGCTTTGAAAATCTCTACGAAAGTCTGGCTGCGATACTAAGAAGCAAGGGTACTGGAAAACAATCCGGAAAGGAGGGCCAAACATCAACAACTGTGATCTCAAGATATCCACTTACCGTCTCTGATGCCGGTCCTCTGTTTCCAGGGAACATCCCGACAAAGCTGTTCAAACACCAAGTCGGCTTCTTTCAAGTCAATAAAGCCAGGACATAAACACACCCTGGATGCAGAAAGAACAATTACTAACTAAAGAACACAGAAGATGGGGTAGACACCAACCATTAGCAGAGTAAATTAATCTGGATGATGCTTCCTCTGGTGGGGTAGATGAAATCAACTTGCCACACCTCCAGAGGGTGGTTATCACCCAGATCATGATGCTCCAGACGAAAAACCAACCTCTGCCAAGTTAAGACAGGCAATGAAGGATAAGGAGGTACATGATGGCTTTCACAGACATGGTTCAAATACTACCCCAGCACTGCTGGGCTGTGAAACCTTGGACAAGTTACTTAACCTCTCTGAACCTTGGCTTTTCTCACCTTTAACACAAAGATGATCTCGACCTGATAGCATCTGTGAAAAGTAGAATAATAAAATGCTTGGCCCTGTGTTACTTTAACAATTGATAGTCTTCCAAGACCATGCCAATCGTAGGGAAATCAATCATTTACAACTGCAACAAACTAAAGATATTCAAATGAGGATTTTTTTCTCTCACGGAATACACACTTATTTCAACAATGCCAAGTCAGCTCAGAATTGTTTTGGATATCTCTTCTCTAACTGAGGTATAACTGAGGTATGGTCTAATATACTATAAAATTCAACTTAGTGTAATGTCTTCAAGGTTTTTTTTCATGTTGTAGCACATTATCAAAACATTTCCTTTTATGGTGGAATAAAATATTTCATTATATAGATATAACACCTTTTGTTTGTCCATGCACCAACTGGTGGAGATTTGAGTTGTTTCTGCTTTTGTCTATTTTGAATGTTGCTATAAACCTTCACACACAAGTTTTTGTGTGGATGTATGTTTTCATTTCTCTTGAATAAGATACCTAAGCGTGAAACTGCTGGGTCATATGATAAAGGTATGCAAAACCACCGAACTTTTTTCTAAGTGGATTGTATTATTTTATATTCCACCAGGAACACAGGAAGGCTCTAGTTTTTCGACATTCTCTCTTGTAACAACACTTATTACTGTCTTTTTGATTGTGGAAATTCTAGTGAATATAAAGTGGTATCATTGTGGTTTTGATTTCAATGTCCCTAATGCACTATTTCATTTTAACAATGCATTTGGATTTCTGGATAACTTTCTTAAGAAATGTTCTGAAAGACATGGAACATGCTCTTCAACAGCCTTGCTGGTAATATATTTTCACTCTCTGAAGGTACGTTTGATTTTTTAACAGTTTAACAAGGAATTTATTAATTTTAACCAGCTGTACAGTTTACAATGTTTGATCTGAATTATTATTTTTTTCCAGTTTTACTAAGATATAAGGGACACACAGCACTATACATGTTTTCAGTGTAAAGCATAATAATTTGGCTTACACACATTGTGAGTTGATATTTCGAAAGAGCCAAAGCTCACCTGAAGCTATACCAGGTTAACAATGACATGTAACAAAAAGAATGCAACTGGTTTTCTTGTGTGACTGTTAAACTTGCTCTAAAAGGGAAGTTCTGAAAACGGAACTTCTGAAAAGGGTTGTAACAATGGCAGTGCCACTGGACTAACTACAGAGACTTCCAAATCCAAAAGCAACTCTTTCCAGGCAATTCACTTAGATATATAAATTCTGATTTATTTAAACATCTCATTGATTTATAATAACATGCACTAAGGTGATGCTTTCAAAATGAAACAATGACTACTGCCTAACATATCCTAAATCACATATGCTTTAATGTTACTGAAATCTACCTTTATATAGCAATACAATATAACTTAACATATATTATATATAATAATGCATGATTAACATAACAATACATGCAATAATAAACAATCCCCGTCATGGATCAGTCTTGTCATGGTGAAGGGGCTTGTGTAACTCAATGAAGCGATAAGCCATGCTGCGCAGGGCCACCCAAGACAGATGGGACATAGTGAAGGGTTGTGAGAAAACACGGTACACTGGGGGAGGAAACAACAACCCACCCCAGTATTCTTGCTGCAAGAACCCAATGAACAACATGAAAAGACAAAAAGAGACGACACTGGAAGATGAGCCCCCTCCCCCACCCGGGTCTGAAGGTATCTAATACGCTACTGGAGAAGAGCGGAGGGCAATTACTAATAGCTCCAGAGAGAATGAAGTGGTTGGGCAAAAGCAGAAATGTCGCTCAGTTGCGGATGTGTCTGGTGGGGAAAGTAAAGTCCAACGCTGTAAAGAATGGTATTTCATAGGAACTTGGAACGTTAGATCCGTGAATCAAGGTAAACTGGACATGGTCAAGCTGGAGATGGTAAGACTGAACACTGACATCTTACGGATCAGTGAACTAAAATGAATTAAATCCATGAACAGGTGAATTTAGTTCAGATGACCATTACATCTACTACTGAGGACAAGAATCCTTTAGAAGTGGAGTAGCCCTCACAGTCAACAGAAGAGTCCAAAATGCAGTGCAACCTCAAAAATGACAGAATGATCTAGGTTCATTTCCAAGGCAAACCATTCAACAACTCAGTAATCCAAGTCTATGCCCCAACAACTGATGCCGAAGAAGCTGAAGTTGACTGGTTCTATGAAGACCTACAACATGTTCTAGAACTAACACACGAAAAAACAGATGTTCTTTTCATCATAGGGGATTGAAATGCAAATGTAGGAAGTCAAGAAATACCCAAAAGTGGAAGTGAAAGTCACTCAGTTGTGTCCAACTTTTTGTGACCCTATGGACTATACAGTCCATGGAATCCTCCAGGCCAGAATACTGAAGTGAGCAGTCTTTCCCTTTTCCAGGGGATCTTCCCAACCCAGGGATCAAACCGAGGTCTCCCACACTGCAGGGGGATTCTTTACCAACTGAGCCACCAGGGAAGCCCATGAATGCTGGAGTGGGTAGCCTATCCCTTCTCCAGCGGATCTTCCTAACCCAGGAATCAAACCAGGGTCTCCTGCACTGCAGGCGGATTCTTTACCAGCTGAGCTACCAGGGAGGCCCACAAAAAATACCCAAAATAACAGGCAAGTTTGGCCTTAAGAGTACAAAATGAAGCAGGGCAAACACTAATAGTTTTGTCAAGAGAACATGCTGGTCATAGCAAACACCCTTTTCTAACAACCCAAAAGATGACTTTACATGTGGATCTCACCAGATGGTCAAAACTGAAATCAGATTATGTTCTTTACAGCTCAAGATGGAGAAACTCTATACAGTTAGCAAAAACAAGACCTGGAGCTGACTGTGGCTCAGATCACGAGCTCTGTATTGCAAAATTCAGGCTTAAATTGAAGAAAGTAATGAAAACCAGTAGACCATTCAGGTATGACCTAAGTCAAACCCCTTATGATTGACAAATAGATTCAAGGCATTAGATCTGGTAGACAGAGTGCTTGCAGAGCTACAGACACTATATAGGAGATGACCAAAATCATTCCAAAGAAAAAGAAAAGCAAGGAGGCAGTGGTTGTCTGAGGAGGTTTTACAAAGAGCTGAGCAAAGAAGAGAAGTGAAAGGCAAGGGAGAAAGGGGAAGACACGCCCAGCTGAATGCAGAGTTCCAGAGAATAGCAAGGAGAGATAAGAAGGCCTTCTTCAACGAACAAGGCAAAGAAATAGAGGAAAACAATAGAATGGGAAAGACTAGAAATCTCTTCAAGAAAATTGGAGATACCAAGGGAACATTTCATACAAGGATGGGCACAGGAAAGGACAGAAACAGGAAGGATCTAACAGAAGCAGCAGAGATTAACAAGAGGTGGCAAGAACACAGAGAACTATACAAAATGGTCTTAATGACTGGGATAACCATGACGGTGTGGTCATTCACCTAGAGCCAGACATCCTGGAATGTGAAGGCAAGTGGGCCTTAGGAAGCATTACTGCAAACGAAGCTAGTGGAGGTGATGGAATTCCAGCTGAGCCACTTAAAATCCCAAAAGATGATGCTGTTAAAGTGCTGCACTCGATATGTCAGAAAATTTGGAAAACTCAGCAGTGGCCACAGGACTGGAAAAGGTCAGTTTTCATTCCAATCCCAAAGAAGGGCAATGTCAAAGAATGTTCAAACTATCATACAATTTCACTCATTTCACATGATAACAACATTATATTCAAAGTCTTTCAAGTAGGCCTCAGCAATACATGAACTGAGAACGTCCAGATGTACAAGCTGGGTCTCAAAGATGCAGAGGAACCAGAGATCAAACTGCCAACATTCGTTGGATCATGGAGAAAGCAAGGGAATTCGAGAAAAATATCTACCTCTGCTTCATTGACTATGCTAAAACCTGTGACTCTGTGGATCACAATGAACTGTGGAAAATTCTTCAACAGATGGGAATACCAGACCACCTTACCTGTCTCCTGAGAAGGCTGTATGTGGGTCAAGAAGCAACAGTTAGAACCAGACATGGAACAATGAACTGGTTCGAAATTGGGAAAGGAGTACATCAAGGTTCTATATTGTCACCCTATTTATTTAACTTATATGCAGGGTACATCAGGTGAAATGTTGGGCTGGATGAAGCTCAAGCTGGAATCAAGATTGCCAGGAGGAATATCAACAACCTCAGATATGCAGATGATACCACTCTACTGGCAGAAAGTGAAGAGGAATTGAAAAGCCTCTTGATGAAGGTAAAAGAGGACACTGAAAAAGCTGACGTGAAACTCAACATTTAAAAAACTAAGGTTATGGCATCTGGTCTCATTACTTCATGGCAAATAGAAGGGGAAAAAGCAGAAGCAGTGACACATTTTTTTTTCTTGGGCTCCAAAATCACTGCGGGTGGTGACTGTAGCCATGAAATTAAAAAACGCTGACTCCTTGGAAGGAAAGTGATGACAAACCTAAACAGCATATTAGAAAGCAGGACTATCACTTTGCTGACAAAGGTCCATACAGTCAAAGCTATGATTTTTTCCAGTACTCATTACAGATGTGAGAGTTGGACCACAAAGAAGGCTGAGCACCAAAGAACTGATGCTTTCAAATTGTGATGCTGGAGAAGACTCTTGAGAGCCCCTTGGACTGAAAGGAGGTCAAACCAGTCAATCCTAAAGGAAATCAATCCTAATGAATATTCATTGGGAGGACTGATGCTGAAGTTGAAGCTCCAATACTTTGGCCACATGATGTGAAGTGCTGACTTGTTGGAAAAGACCCTGATGCTGGGAAAGACTGAAGGCAAAGGGAGAAGCGGGTGGCAGAGGATGAGATGGTTAGATAGTATCACTAGTTCAACAGACATGAATTTGAGCAAACTCCGGGAAACAGCGGAGGACAAAGGAGCCTGGCATGCTACAGTCCATGGGTTCCAAAGAGCCGGACATGACTTAGTGACTGAACAACTACAACAATCTAACAATAATACATCACTCACAGCACAGAAGTTGAGACCAGACTCAACTTTAATATTAAACTACTGTGTAACACTAGGACAAAGTACTGAATCTCCCTGGACCTCATTTCCTCACATGAAAAACTGGAGAAGTAATAGTTAATACTATACCTGACAGAGAGGTTATGAAAATGTTTTGAAGCTAGTATAAAAGGAGATATTACCACATATTTGCTCTCCAGGAATTTAAGGGGCAGATGTTACCTACTTTAATCAAGGTAAACATCCTACAAGGAAAACATTCTAAATATTTCAAAAGACTTTAAGTGATAATTATAATCCCTTTCCAGTGAGAATTCACTTACCTAGATACGCCTGTGGGTGACATGCTGATTTCATACACACCCTCTTTACTAAAGAAACCAAGAAAACAAAGACCTATTAGTACCAAGTTAAACAATATACTGCATGCAGGGGGAGGAAGAGCTGTCCTTCGGAGTGCACAGTGTCCCAGCTCACCAAAACCACTTCCCATGAGCGTACTCGGTGAGGGAAGTAGAGCCCCACCTTCTTCCATCACTGAGATAAGGGGTAAGATCTAGGTATAGAATCCTGACAAAATCGGGCCATGAAGGCAAAGGCCAGGATAAAGTAAATTCTTGTCCTATACCTTCATATTTCACCCATAATTCAGGTTGATGTGGTGTGGGAATCTATCACACAAAAAGGGGTGCCTTGGAGCCTGGAACAGAGATACACGGAACAGAAGTTGAAGGTCCCCATGATAGAGCTCCGCCTCCTGATAGTTCCCACAGACTCAGCATCCTCCAGGGTAATTACCGCTTGGAATCTCCTGAATACACCACCACGTGTCTGATCCCACGCTCTTCTACATACTGGTATGCGTCCCCACTATCTAGCACCCCAATCCAACTCGCCCCCAGCTTTGGTCCAGTGGAAAATTCTAATTCATCCTTCAAAAATCTCAGCTCAGTATCACTTTGTCTAAGCCTTTCCTGGCCTGTAATCCAGTCAAATAATGTTACACAGCTCATCCTCTGTGACCACTACACCTCACCTACAAGTATACTGTTGGAAGATAGTCAGGATCACAATTTGTCGGACTACATGTCTATTTCATTTACTAGACTATGAGCTGCTGAAGGGCTGGAATGGGTGACTCTTCTGTCTCCCAGTGCCTAGCACACAACTGATGAACAGTAAAAAGTTTATTGAACTTAATCAAATGTATGAAAGTACAGAACTGTTACAGAAGGGCACGTCACAGTAAGAAACGTGATCCAAACTGGACAGGTGTTTCTGTCCAGAGAGCTGTGTCGGACGCTTCTCAGAGATAAGCATTGGAGAATAATATAAAGGGATAGTATTTACGTCATCCTTTTCCATGTGACTTAGCAGTTCATAACCTCTGAGCTGGGCTCTTAGCTGGATGTGTAAGCCACTCGGAGCCAAAATGTAGGCAGAGTTATTATCATAAACATATAGCATTATTTCAAAATATTAGTTGGCTATAAAGTTTCCTAGACTGCTAATATTTCAGTGCTATATTTTGGGCCATATTTAGAAAATGGTTCACTCCAAATGTGAGGGGTATTTCTGGCTATTAAAAAAATCTAGCAAGGCTAATTTTAGATAAACAGAATTAACAAACCCTATGGTCAAGTGGGAATGAGTACCATCATTTTTTGTCTCTGCCTTGGAACTTCACAATTGTCCCTTTTTTCAACCTGAATGTCCCATCTGTAGCTTGTAATAGGTTTCTTGGCTTTGCTTCTTCTCTTTACCATCGATGGAGGCAGTATCACATTTGTATTTGCAAAACAAAGACTGTTAGAGCTACCAGACTGGATCTTCAGTGATTATATAGTCCAACCCCTTAATATTACAGGCAAGGAAACAAAAGTCCAGAGAGACAGTAATAACTTACCTAAGGACTAGTTACATAGCTGACTAGTGGCCAAGCCACAACTACACACCCTCTCTGAAAACATGATGACACTTGTGTTAGTTTCAAACTTTTCTAAGATATACAGCTTGACCTGCAAACAGCCAAACAGCTTAATACTTGCTCATGAACAACAGCACACATATTTAATGCTAATTTGCTTAAATAAAAGCACGCTTTCTACAGATAATTTATCTGCATTAGATGGAAACTGAGAAGCAGAACAAGAGAAATCAAAGCATCTTTCATCATTTTGAAAAAGAATATTTTTAGACACAGATCAATATAAATGTTTATAATCATTTAATTGCTCTGGAACAATTCTGTGGTTTTAATAAATGAACTGTAAGAGCTTCTAGATTTCTAGCAGTTTTCATAGCATTGCTAGTAAATTGATACTAAAAGGTTTTTTGAAGAACCATGTTTCAATAACTCAGGAAAAAAAATTCCTCTGTGTCTTTACCTAAGGGATATTTTAGCTGCTATCTGCATATATGTTAGTCAAACAGGGTCAAGAAATCTACACCAGTCAGAGTTTAAGGAACAGATATCCGGCTGCATTTTCCACACCATCAGCAATTCAGAAAGGCTTCTCAAAAGACCAGGTTTAAAGATATCTGAGACAGGGATATCCCAGCTTCAAATTTAAGACACTAATTGGCCACTATCTTTTCCAGATGGAAAAACCAGGCCGAAGGAAAGATCCGGGGCTCTCCGTTTCACTGTGGGCAACGGCTCCAGGAGCGCAGCAGTGTACTTACTCGATCACTCGTGGCTCTGGGGCTCTGCGTACCACCTGCAGAAAAACAGTCAGATATCATTTCTGAATGATTCCTAATCCCCAGGGAGGCTTCCTTGCAGAATTACGGCATCCTCTCATTTCTAGTTAAGACAGGTTTAAAACTATCCCTGTTTTATTCTAAGCTCTTAGTATTCCAGAAAGTTCTGGTTCTACTCTTCTTAGAACTACTCCAGAGTGACTAGTAGGCAGTAAAGGATGACAAAATTAGAATAGGTTTTCCTAGCAGTAAGCAGCTCTGGAAAAAACATTCTTTCCAAGGGATTTTTAAAAACAGAAGACATACTAGGAAATAAGAGGTTTTAATCATTATTTATACAATCATTACTACAGCAAGATATCTGATTTTTAGCTCCTTTTTCCCATCTTATTAAAAATGGCAACTCTTTCCCGTTTCTTACATTTTTCCTGGCGGGATTAAGCATTGCAGTAGCTAGAATTTCAATCCAATTCCAGAGATATTTGATACACTAGCATGTTTAGGACTGTTAGAACTTAAATAACTAATGCAAACTCTAGTCATGGTATAACCTCTAGTCATAGTACATCTCCTTGGCAAAAAAAAAAAAAAGGAATTATATATGCCTATAAATTGGGAGAAGACTACAAAGAATCCTCAGACATACTAAGAAACTGATACTCCACATTTCATTATTCCTATAGGCCTTTCAGTTCTCTTTCTATTAGTGAGTTTATTCAATCACTATTTATTTGAGTGTCTACTATGTGACTGTTGCTTTTATAAATAAATCTTTGTTACTGTTGAAGAAGAAACAAGAATTTACCTCCTGGGGTTCTTTGAACACAAACTGTCTGTCAGACAGATGCTGCTCCTTGTTCATCCAGGTTTTACCAAGTCTCTGTTGGAGATGGTTCTCAGCAGTGGGAGCTGAAGAAAGACAGGGAAGATTCAAACCTTAACATCAATTAAAAGAGAATGATACTGGTCCACACACGCACACAAAAACAGGAGATCCCCACAGGTACTTGCCTGGCTGAGCAGTGACCTGGCTCTTAGCAGGACCAGTCCAGGCTCCCTGCACTCGGGCTCGCCGTCTTTTGTCCTCCATGCTGATCAAGACTTCCACTCTTAGCTTTCAGAAAAGTTCATTCCTGATTCAAACTACGCAATGGTATCTGTTTAAAGAAAAAAAAAAATGCTTTAAGTTGGGCTTGTGAAAGCTTTGACTACCAAGGGATTAATTATAAGCCTTTTAAGTAGATGAGATGACTCAATAGCAATCAGTGCTTCTACATAAAATCAACTCTGAGATCACAACATCTCAATCAGGAGCCTACTAAGTTACTCGGGGATGCTGCTTTTAATGTTTTATCTTTTGCAATGTTTATCTTTTAATGATTTATCTTATCATAGTACTTTCATTTCATTCACAAGAAAGTAGATACTAAGAAATTCTGAAACCAGGACCTATCATAAACCACATTACTCTTATTAGACCCCAAGAGGACAACACAGCAAAACCGTAATATGCCACCTACATGAAGATTCAGAAATAGGCTAAAACTCAGTTTCCCAGGGCATTTCCATACTCCATAACCATAGGCTGCATCAAACTTCCCTTGAAGCTTGTTAAAAACACCTATGGCCTGTCTCAGAAGATTTGATGTTGGATGGATACATGTGTCTGTCATTGAAACAAGCATTGTAGACGATGACGATAAACAGATATGTAAGGGCCACAAGCTTATGTGGTTCACCCAGTGCCACTCAGGAAATCAACAGGTAATTAACGTGCAAATTTTATCACGTTCGTCTTCAGTTAAGTAAAAAATCCACACAATAATGACCAGTAATATTAATTTGACATTTTTGCCAATAAAAGTCTGCTGCTGCTAAGTCGCTTCAGTCGTATTCGACTCTATGCGACCCCATAGACGGCAGCCCACCAGGCTCCGCAGTCTCTGGGATTCTGCAGGCAAGAATAAAAGTCTAGCTCACATCAAATACAGAGCATACATATTCTCAAAACAAAACAAAACCAAACAAAACGGGAACGTTGGGGCACGTATGGACCTATAGTCCATTCTTTCATAGGTCCAAGACAACTTCACTCAAAAGTTCTCAAAGGTTAACAGGCTCTTTTTAATAGCTTGTTTAGCCTACAAATTCCCAGCCCCACCCCCAGACTTTCTGATTCAGTAGAACTAAGCTGGTCCTGGTAATCTGTATGTTTAACAAATTCTCCCAAGTGACAAGCATGTAAGTTTTCTTATTTAATAAGCGGAAGAGAACAGAGGCTGCCATCTGCCCACAGAGTTAACGGCAGAACCAAATACCTACACTCCAGTCCCATATGATTTGTAGAGGAAGCTCTCATATGATATTTTCTTTCAGTTGAGGCCTTAAAACCGTAACGCGACAACCAGCTATCATTCTTGCTGTGTTCAGAGGAGAGCGATGAGTTGTTACGTGCGCCGCACGGCTGCTGAAAATACAGATTCCAGAACCCTATCCCAGGCTAAATCTGCGGAGTCCCGCAAACTACTAACTAACCCCTACCTCCTACGCTGAGATTCTTTACCCGAATTAAGCACGAGAACCCCGCTTCCAGGGCCAAGAGCGAGCGCTCCGGCGGCAGCCAAAGGACTCGCTTTGAATCCAAACCTGACCCTTCCCAGCGGCGTGGCCTGAGGCAAATGCCATTCCCCTTTCCGAGTCAGTTTCCTCCTCTGTCAACAGAGGAGCCAATACCTCTCTCACGGTTCGAGTGAGAATTAAGCAATGCTCGAAGGTGAAAGAGTCTGGTCCTATCAGTAAGGCTTAAGCAGCTTTATTTTAGACCCCCTTTTTTTTTCCTGGGAGGCCCTGAATGAAGTCCCCGGGGGTCGCCCGGGAAGGGACCTCAGGACGGTCCCCACAACTCGCAAGGACAGGCCGGGAGGCCGCACCTGCCAGCGGAGCCGGGCGCGCAGGTTTTAAAGCCGCTCTTCCTACAGCAAACTCCGCGCTGCCTCGGGTCTGCTCTGCCGCCGGCTGTCTGTGGGAGTCTCAGGACCCCGGCCCCGACTCCAGCACTTCCTAACCGCAGGCCCACGGCGGCAGGCACGTCCTCTGACGTCACGCGCCGCCGCCACCGCCTCTTCCGGCGCCACAGCCCGGGTCTCCGGGCGGCTCGGGGTCCCTCGAGCCGAAAGGGCCGGGTCTCTGAAGGTGAAGGTGGCAGCGCCGGGGCTCGAGGGGAGCACAAGAGATTAAGGGTGCGGTGGAGCCCCGTTAAGGGTGGGCTACGGCGATGGTGGGGATTAAGACGTTTCCTCGGCGGAAGTCACACACCCCTAACCAAAGACGAGAGATAGCCAAGCTCTCGCTTCTTTGGTCCTTGCGGGAAGAACGACCGAGCCCCAGCGGAAGGGCAAAGGCGTTGGGGAACCTGGTCATGATGCGCTGAGCAACACGGTTTGACTTGTATCCTGAACTCCACTCAGCGTCTGAGATGCACCTCGTTTGTTTTCCCTGCAGACGGTGCGGACTTCTATCCTAGCACTGAGAATAGGACCACGCCCTATTCGTCGTGGGTCTGTAGTGCTAACAAAGTTTGCTTGACAGAAAAGATCTGAGTTTCAGGATATACACCCTTTTACTTGGTGTATAATCTAGGTCAGGTACCCTGCTTTTTTACGAAATGGGCATAGCTTTTCTGTCGGGGGCATTAAATGAGATAATGTGTTTACAGAATTTAGCACGATGCCTGGAACATAATAGAAACTTAATAACTGTTAAGTGTCTTCAATCTGTCTGAGTTCTGGAGAAACATCTTTAAGTGCCGTGTTAAATCGTGTACCTTACAGTGTGAAAATAGCAGAAGTAGTGCTAAATTAACTACACCTTGTGCAAATTATAATGTGGAAGGATTTAAAATAAACTTTGTGTTATATAGTGCTTAATCTGCAGGAAGCTTAGTATACCCCATCAACGACCCTACATTGTTGCTACTGTCAAATCTAATTTCACAGCATCCATTACTCTTTGTAATACTTTGTGACATTGAAGGGGAAAGGATTTATCCTTAAACTGAGAGGGGAGACAAGTGGTAAGGCCAGACTATAATTTGTATCTTTCCCCACTTCCCATAAACTAAGTCTCAGGTGGCTTAGTTTACCCATAAAAGACATGAGAGATGTGGGTTCAGACTCTGGGTCAGGAAGATCCCCTGGAGAAGGAAATGGCAAACCACTCCAGTTTTCTTGCCTGGAGAATCACAGAGAGGAGCCTGGTGTGCTATAGTCCATAGGGTCGGAAAGAATCAGACACAACTGAAGCGACTTAGCACTGTCAACAAACAACTTGTCAGTGTCTCCTGGCTCAAGAACCTTGTCTGTATCTTCCCAAGGATGCCATTTCTTTCTTTTCAATGATTATGGTTTTAGAGTGGAAAGAAGTCCTGGACTGTCCTCCAAGTAAAAAAGTTCTTTAAAATCACTCCATGGTCTGCTTGCACCCAAAATAACCTTTAACAGATTTAATAGAATCACTTGTATTTTTACCAAGTGTCCAAGGTAATTCTAATGCACAGAATGTTTGAAAACCTTTGGGATGCATGTAGGGTGACAACTATGTTTCAGGTTTTCTGGGACTGAGGGGTGCCCCTAGGATGCAGGACTTTAAGTGCTAAAGGTGGGCAAAGAGCCCTGGGCAAACAGATGGTAGGTCACCCTAGATAGATATGAGTATATAGCTCTCAAAAGATGTTTTTGATGGCTGTTGGCATCCTGGGTTTCCTCATTTCTATTTGAAGTATTTGTGTTTTTGTTTTCGTGGGTGGTAGTGGAGACCATGGGCGAGACAATAAAGGTAGGGGTGCATTGCCAGTCACCAGTGTGTTGACTCTCAGCCCCAACACCATCCTTTTCTGCCTTGCTTGCAATACTGGAACGTTTCTCTCTTGCCATTTGGCCTGGTGTTAAGGTTCATCTTGGTAGCTCAGACCATAAAGCGTCTGCCTGAAATGTGGGAGACCCAGGTTCGATCCTTGGGTTGGGAAGATCCCCTGGAGAAGGAAATGGCAACCCACTCCAGTACTCTTGCCTGGAAAATCCCATGGATGGAGGAGCCTTGTAGGCTACAGTCCATGGGGTCGCAAAGAGTCGGACACGACTGAGCGACTTCACTTAAGGTTCATCAGTAGAGGATGCTGGAGGACCCTTACAATGAGAAGGAGCTCTTTGCCCTGATTTGAGAGTGCTCCTCTTAGCTAGCTCTACAGTACATGGTAGCCTGATATGATTGGCACCTCTCTGCACTGAATTAGCTGAATTTATAGCCTTGTTAACAACTCTTGTGAAGTTGACATCATCTTCAACTGGAAGAAATGGGATCCCAAAACTTGAAATAGGGAACATCTGCTTGGACCCAGATGAAATTGACCATGTTGAACTCCCAGGTCACCCTGAGCCTCCCTTGGCAATGGCAGCAGTTTGCCCTCCTATGTCTGAGGAGCCTGGTCATCCTCTGCTTAAAAGCCCTGCAAAACTCTCACCTGGAGCAGACGACGTGGAAAGGCCTGTGCTTCCTGATGGGTTGGGAGTGCTTCCGTATCTCTGCCTGCCTTTGTGTTCTGCCTGGATCTCGAGGTAGGTAGTGGCTATATATTAGAGTTTTCCTTTACCCCTTGTAAGTGAAAAAAGTGAAAGTGAAGTCACTCAAATAGTTGTGTCCAACTATTTGCGACCCCATGGACTGTAACCTACCAGGCTCCTCCATCCATGGGATTTTCCAGGCAAGAGTACTGGAGTGGGTTGCCATTGCCTTCTCCAGAGGATCTTCCCAACCCAGGGATCAAACCCAGGTCTCCCACATTGTAAGCAGATGCTTTACTATCTGAGCCAACAGGAAAAGCTTACCCCTTGATAGGTAATACCCAATTTCCCTCTTTGAATCACTATATGATTGCTGTCTCCTCTTTGAGTCCTGACCATTATGGTGTGCTTGTGATAGCAGGGGTGGGAGCAATAGCTAGCAAGTGACTGGCTCCATGGTGGGCCTTCCACTGTAAGGGCAGGCCTTAAAACTGCCTCTGATTTGGTCATCCCTGACCATTTACTCTTGCACTACCCTTCTTGGGTCTCTTCACCTGAGACAACCCTTCTGAAGCCCCAGTAGGTTTTTGCAGAATCCATTGACTTGCCTGTACTCCAAAGCCACCTTTTCTCAGCATGTGGTTAGATGACCATCTGCTTTGGAGACAGTAGGGGATGCTTATAAATATGAAGATCCCAGGTGCCCCACAATAAGATCCAGAGTTCGTGGGTCCGGGGCAGGGCCCCAAAATTTGCACTTTTAACAGTGCCTTGTCTCATTTTGTAAGAAGTTTCAAAAGTTCCCTTTACCCTTGGCTGCTGCCAGCTCTCTTCAAGTGATTAGTTTTCTGCCCAACATTTATCTTAGCCCAAGGATGGAAAAACTGATAGGTACTTTAAACACTGGTAGCTCTTAGAAGTCATTCTGGGTAATCTGCACACCACAGCTTATTTTCAGTTGCTGATTGTTACCCCAGACTCTTGCCAAACATTGAGTCCTGTGCTGCCTTTAGAGTACCTGCTCCTGAATTCTGTGAAAGTCCAGTCCAAGGCAAATGATGGCCAACACGCTAATAGCTCTCAGTGAAGATGTCATAATATTCCCGGCTCCTGTCTCAGCTGCCAGAGGCTCAGCATTTCCTGGCTGGAGGCCGGAGGGTGTGTGCATGGAGGTTTTCAAGTCTCTGCCAACTTTACACCATGATGAGGGAGAGAGGATGTTTCCTCAAACTCCAGACAGGAACTCCTCCTGTTCAGTGCCCAGCATGATTGCAGATACCGCCAGAGATATGAACTGCAGTGTAAGTGATTTGTTGCTGTTGTTTAGTCGCTAAGTCATGTCTGACTCGTGCGACCCCATGGACTGTAGCCTGCCAGGCTTCTCTGTCCATGGCATTTTCCCAGGCAAGAATGGGTTGCCATTCTCTTCTCCAGGGGCTCTTCCCAACCCAGGGATCGACCCCAGGTCTTCCGCATTGCAGGAGGATTCTTTACCATCTGAGCCAGCAGAGAAGACCAAGAATACTGGAGTGGGTAGTCTATTCCGCCTCTAAGTGATCTTCTGACACAAGAATCAAACCAGGGTCTGTGTTGCAGGTGGATTCTTTTCCAGCTGAGCTGCCAGGGAAGCCCCTCCTTGTTATTAAATAGGAGCAAATAATATTATTTGTTAACATTTCTTGAGAGGTTCTTTTTTTTATTAACACATTTATTTTTATTGTAACAAAGCAAACTTGCACACTTTTCAAGCTGAAAACTGAGCTACATCTTCCCAAGGAAACCAAAAGAAAAAATTTAAAACAGGAACAAAATTACAATAGAGAATGTCAATTGCAAATAAGATACTACAAGTTCTGCTGATTCTCCCATTGAATGGCAGGGCTCAAGGCATCATTATGAGAGAATTCTATTTTAAAAGTGTCATCTTAAACTGCAAAGATGTCCATTAACCGTCACAATTAAATATGCCAAAGGAGAAGCCATGTCATCAAAAGTGCCCACTTGACCCACCCAAGCATCTTGAGAGCATCTTCCAGGTCAAGGGCTGCTCCAATTATTTTCATGCTGACACCAGTATACTTCTCAGAACAGTCTTATGATGTAGGTAATACATACGGCAGAAAGCGAAGAAGAACTACAGAGCCTGTTGATGAAAGTGAAAGAGAACAATGAGAAAGTTGGCTTAAAGCTCAACATTCAGAAAACTAAGATCATGGCATCCAGTCCCATCACTTCATGGCAAATAGATGGGGAAACAGTGCAAACAGTGGCAGACTTTATTTTTGGGGGCTCCAAAATCCTGCAGATNGAAGGGAGGAGGAGAAGGGGATGACAGAGGATGAGATGGTTGGGTGGCATCACTGACTCAATGGACATGAGTTTGAGTAAACTCTGGGAGTTGGTGATGGACAGGGAGGCCTGGCGTGCTGCAGTCCATGGGGTCACAAAGAGTCAGACACAACTGAGTGACTGAACTGAACTGAACTGAATATATATATTACCATATTTATTACATAACATAATACCAAATG